AGACTAGACTATAGACTAGACTAGACTAGACTATAGACTAGACTATAGACTAGACTATAGACTAGACTATAGACTAGACTATAGACTAGACTATAGACTAGACTATAGACTAGACTATAGACTAGACTATAGACTAGACTATAGACTAGACTATAGACTAGACTATCGACTAGACTAATAGACTAGACTATAGACTAACTATGACTAGACTATAGACTAGACTATAGACTAGCTATAGACTAGACTATAGAACTAGACTATAGACTAGACTATAGACTAGACTATAGACAGACTATAGACTAGACTATAGACTAGACTATAGACTAGACTATAGACTAGACTATAGACTAGACTATAGCCTAGACTATAGACTAGACTATAGACGAGACTATAGACTAGACTATAGACTAGACTATAGACTAGACTATAGAATAGACTATAGACTAGACTTAAGATATAGACTAGACTATAGACTAGACTATAGACTAGACTATAGACTAGACTATAGACTAGACTATAGACTAGACTATAGACTAGACTATAGACTAGACTATAGACTAGACTATAGACTAGACTATAGACTAGACTATAGACTAGACTATAGACTAGACTATAGACTAGACTATAGACTAGACTATAGACTAGACTATAGACTAGACTATAGACTAGACTATAGACTAGGCTATAGACTAGACTATAGACTAGACTATAGACTAGACTATAGACTAGACTATAGACTAGACTATAGACTAGACTATAGACTAGACTATAGACTAGACTATAGACTAGACTATAGACTAGACTATAGACTAGACTATAGACTAGACTATAGACTAGACTATAGACTAGACTATAGACTAGACTATAGACTAGACTATAGACTAGACTATAGACTAGACTATAGACTAGACTATAGACTAGACTATAGACTAGACTATAGACTCTATAGACTAGACTATAGACTAGACTATAGACTAGACTATAGACTAGACTATAGACTAGACTATAGACTAGACTATAGACTAGACTATAGACTAGACTATAGACTAGACTATAGACTAGACTATAGACTAGACTAGACTAGACATAGACTATACTACTAGACTATAGACTAGACTATAGACTAGACTATAGACTAGACTATAGACTAGACTATAGACTAGACTATAGACTAGACTATAGATTAGACTATAGACTAGACTATAGACTAGACTATAGACTAGACTATAGACTAGACTATAGATTAGACTATAGACTAGACTATAGACTAGACTATAGACTAGACTATAGACTAGACTATAGACTAGACTATAGACTAGACTATAGACTAGACTATAGACTAGACTATAGACTAGACTATAGACTAGACTATAGACTAGACTATAGACTAGACTATAGACTAGACTATAGACTAGACTATAGACTAGACTATAGACTAGACTATAGACTAGACTATAGACTAGACTATAGACTAGACTAGACTAGATTAGACCTAGACTAGACTATAGACTAGACTATAGACTAGACTATAGACTAGACTATAGACTAGACTATAGACTAGACTATAGACTAGACTATAGACTAGACTATAGACTAGACTATAGACTAGACTATAGACTAGACTATAGACTAGACTATAGACTAGACTATAGACTAGACTATAGACTAGACTATAGACTAGACTATGGACTAGGCAATAGACTAGACTATAGACCTGTCTATTGACTAGACTATTGACTATACTATTGACTTGACTATAGACTTGGCTATAGACTTGTTTATAGACTTGACTATATATTAGTCTATAGTCAAGACTATTGTCTAGACAATAGACTAGACTATTAGGTATTTTTGGTTGTAAAAAAGTACCGAAAAAAGTATAATAGTACTGAATTTTCTATACCTGCTTTACATCTTCTCTTTTTTGGCAAAATGAATCTGTGCACAAAAGCTTTCCCTTGACAAAAAAAAAACACTCATACACAATAACAAAAAAAAATATCATCAAAAATAATTAAGTTGAAAGAAATTTTATTTTTGTGTGGGAATATGCAAAATTTAATGATGCTTGTAGGGAAAAAAACACTTTAAATTAATTACTGGACTAAACATTGAGTCACAAGATTCCTGGAAATTACTTTTAAATTTATTAAGCGAAAAATGATTTTAAATGTTGTAATAGTAAATGGTGTTGTTTATTAGTGAGGAATCTTACATTTCCGTTTGAACGAGTAATTGCAAGAAAAGCCATTATTCAAGGAAATTTTGTGGTTTTGTTATTTCCACAAAATTACCAAGAAATTTGTGTTAATTTATTACTAAATTTACAGGTTTTATTTTTTTTTTTTAAATTTGCTAAGAAATATATAAAGTTGTTCTAAATAATTTTGATGTAACAAATTAAGATTTATATTAAAACCACAATAAAAAACATGTATGTATATTCTTCATAACTTTCCTTTCAACACACACTTGCACAAATATATTTTAAATAGAATTTTGAAATAATACAATTTACGAAGAAAATAGACATACGCTCTGAAGTCCAATGACAATTTCTTGTTGTACACGAGTAATAATTTCATTTTATTAATATCATAGTTGCAGGTTTGGAAAATTTTAATTTTCTTATGGTACTGAAATAAAATTAAATTGAACTAAATATAATTAATATCTGGATTAATGACATGAATAAATAATAAAGTTCTTCTTTGTACGTATTCAGAAGTATAGAAGCCAAAATGTACCATTAAATACAATAAAAAGTACCAGGTCATATATTTTTGAAACCTTAAATAATACCAAACAATGGATCAATCGGAAAAATCTTTCACAAAACGATATTTAAAACATATTCGAGTCGAATTTTACCCCGATATCATTATTAATTTAGGAGTTATTTACGATTAGGAGATTTTCAAAAGAAAGCTTTATATGGAATCTGTGACCAATTATGTACCGACCCCGAAAAATTAATTGTATATATACAAAACATATTCAAATATAATTTTATCCCGATATCATTATTAATTCATGTCTTTATATAGAAGCTATGATCAATTATGGACCGATCCGGAAAAAAAATTTGACGAATAATTTGTTAAATGTTATTTGTTAATAGATTATGTTATTTTAATTGATTTTCGGAAGTGGAGCTTATATGGGTGCTCTAGTCAATTTTGACCGATCCAGGTTTAAGTTGGTAATACGATTTCGCTTGATATCAGATTAGTAAGTGCAAAATTTTTCCATAATACCCATATTCTAAGCGGAGTTATTAACAATAAATCCATTTTGCAGAAGAATGTAAATTTGTATAGAAGCCACATATATCCAATTTTGAACCGATTTTAATAATTTTTAACTATGTTAATCCCTGGACGAAAGAAAAGACTTGTGACAAAAGTAGATGCTATAGTTTCTAAAATAAAAACTAATCAAAAATGAGTTATTTCGGAATTTTGCACATGTCTCCGTTACTTTTTTTTCGAGCCGATTACAATACTTATTGAAGATGTTGAGTTGGTCTAACTTAATGCTAGAAAGATCACACTTGATCATAGAAGTGTGATCTAAACGTAATTTGTAATTTTTCAATATCTGTTGTATACTCTTTTATATGTGTTTATAGAAAGGTTGTATCAAGACTTTATAGAATTTAGACTCTAATCCGATAATCGTGGTACTTAACTCTGGCAGAATCGGGCCATAATTGCTCATAGAGGCACCTTCCATCCCTGACAAACACATTGATAGATATACACGTGTATACACCACAACATTATAAACGTATTCAGTATTTCCACTCTCTATCTCTCTTTGAATTTTTTTTATTCGACATTATTCTTGTACTAACATACATATGTATGTATTTTATTATTAAACACAATGCGAATACAAAAACATTTACTGTCATTATATGAAATTGTCACAACATAACATGAACACAATAACAAAATATACACACTTTCATATTCCTTCCTAAACACTCTCTCTCTCTCCTTATTAAATTTCTAAATAATTGATGCTCAAATTTATAACTTAAATTTAATAATTGATGAATAACTACAAATTAAATTGTAATTAAATTTGAAATTTTTTACCATTTTATTTTTTATTCTTTTTCTCATGCAAATTAAAAATTGAACAAAAAAATTAAATCCCCTAAAATTCTGCTACACAATTTCAATTAATACTCGGCAGTGGACTCCAATGAGGCTTCTGTTGTTGTGGTAAGAGGAACACCAAATCTACAGGCTTTAGCACAACCCAGGTTACCGGTAGTGGCTCTCTTGGAAACGCTGCCGAGACCAACTAAAACATCAAGTAGGTTTCTACAAATTTGAAAAATTGTTTTCTTTTTTGTTTTTTTGGAAAATGAAATTTTTAATTGTAGTTTCGTTTATAAAGGTAATAAAAGCTTAAAATATTCACACACACAAAACATTAATACATATCAAAGTAAACTTTTGCTTCCAGTTTAGTGCGTTTCCCTAGAAAAAACAAAAATTACACTCACCACCCATAAAACCATAAATAATTTTTAAGAATTTTCAACTTGTTTACTATTGTCGGCTTGTGGACTTAAAATAATTTAAAAATCATTAGCATACTTTTGGGCAGTTATTAATAAAAATGTCAAAAATAGCTTAATAAGCTCAAATGTATAATAAATATTTTCATAGTATGAAAATATTTGACGAAATATGTTCAAACTAACTAATTTTTCTTGGAAATTTGAAAATTATTAGAATTGCCTTAAAATATGTTAATAATATGACAATATCAACAGAGCCTTAACAGAGCATAATTTTCTGCATTTTCATGTTCTAAATGAATGTCTCTTACATGGCTTTTAAAATATTTTAGTTTAAGTTTAGTCAAAAAGTAGTGTTTTATGTATATATTATTTATTTTTCTTTGTGTAGTTGTTATTTTTAAAATGTATCCAAATTTTGGTAATTCTTTATTTTTTGCTTTTGTAAAAATTTTCTTTACAGAATGCGATCAAACATTTGTATCCCGTATTGGTGGCCCCCAAAATGGCACATTTTCTGCTCCACTATTGCACAATCATAAAAATCATTCACGTCAATGTTTATACACTTTCCTAGCAGGACCTGGACAACGAGTTGAAGTCATTTTTAAAACATTTAATCTAAGAGGAAATCCACCAGAGTATGTATTCAATGAAAATATAATATTAAAATGCTTTTTAATTTTTCTCTCTATGGTTACAATTAACTGTTTTTAATTATACATTAATATGAGTTTAATTGTGCCACTTAATCAGTAATTGTCATTAATATAAAATTATTTTATTTAATTCCAATTTTCTCCATTTTCTTTTATTATTTAGCGGTTCGGCCGTTGGTGAATTACCATCGTAAGTAAATTAAATATACGGCTTTTATTTTATTAATTTAATTGTAATTTAACCATGGTGTTGTTCTTACATATCCTACCTCATTATTGGAGATAATTAAGATTATTAACTAACTAACTAACTAACTAACTAACTAACTAACTAACTAACTAACTAACTAACTAACTACTAACTAACTAACTAACTAACTAACTAACTAACTAACTAACTAACTAACTAACTAACTAACTAACTACTAACTAACTAACTAACTAACTAACTAACTAACTAACTAACTAACTAACTAACTAACTAACTAACTAACTAACTAACCAACTAACTAACTAACTAACTAACTAACTAACTAACTAACTAACTAACTAACTAACTAACTAACTAACTAACTAACTAACTAACTAACTAACTAACTAACTAACTAACTAACTAACTAACTAACTAACTAACTAACTAACTAACTAACTAACTAACTAACTAACTAACTAACTAACTAACTAACTAACTAACTAACTAACTAACTAACTAACTAACTAACTAACTAACTAACTAACTAACTACTAACTAACTAACTAACTAACTAACTAACTAACTAACTAACTAACTAACTAACTAACTAACTAACTAACTAACTAACTAACTAACTAACTAACTAACTAACTAACTAACTAACTAACTAACTAACTAACTAACTAACTAACTAACTAACTAACTAACTAACTAACTAACTAACTAACTAACTAACTAACTAACTAACTAACTAACTAACTAACTAACTAACTAACTAACTAACTAACTAACTAACTAACTAACTAACTACTAACTAACTAACTAACTAACTAACTAACTAACTAACTAACTAACTAACTAACTAACTAACTAACTAACTAACTAACTAACTAACTAACTAACTAACTAACTAACTAACTAACTAACTAACTAACTAACTAACTAACTAACTAACTAACTAACTAACTAACTAACTAACTAACTAACTAACTAACTAACTAACTAACTAACTAACTAACTAACTAACTAACTAACTAACTAACTAACTAACTAACTAACTAACTAACTAACTAACTAACTAACTAACTAACTAACTAACTAACTAACTAACTAACTAACTAACTAACTAACTAACTAACTAACTAACTAACTAACTAACTAACTAACTAACTAACTAACTAACTAACTAACTAACTAACTAACTAACTAACTAACTAACTAACTAACTAACTAACTAACTAACTAACTAACTAACTAACTAACTAACTAACTAACTAACTAACTAACTAACTAACTAACTAACTAACTAACTAACTAACTAACTAACTAACTAACTAACTAACTAACTAACTAACTAACTAACTAACTAACTAACTAACTAACTAACTAACTAACTAACTAACTAACTAACTAACTAACTAACTAACTAACTAACTAACTAACTAACTAACTAACTAACTAACTAACTAACTAACTAACTAACTAACTACTAACTAACTAACTAACTAACTAACTAACTAACTAACTAACTAACTAACTAACTAACTAACTAACTAACTAACTAACTAACTAACTAACTAACTAACTAACTAACTAACTAACTAACTAACTAACTAACTAACTAACTAACTAACTAACTAACTAACTAACTAACTAACTAACTAACTAACTAACTAACTAACTAACTAACTAAACTAACTAACTAACTAACTAACTAACTAACTAACTAACTAACTAACTAACTACTAACTAACTAACTAACTAACTAACTAACTAACTAACTAACTACTAACTAACTAACTAACTAACTAACTAACTACTAACTACTAACTAACTAACTAACTAACTAACTACTAACTAACTAACTAACTAAGTAACTAACTAACTAACTAACTTGTCATGTTTATTTCTTCACACATTTATCTCAAAATTTCTTTCGTAAATCCTAAGCCAATTAGCTCCAATTTCATTATGTAAATGTTAAACCAATTAAGTATAAATTCCTTCTTTAAATCTTTTGCAAGTTTCCTCATGACTTCTTCCAGTTATCTCAGGTTTACTGCGGTCAGTTTTAGCCACTTGGCTATCTTTATCTTTAGTATGTCTCGAGCCAGTTAGCCTTGAGCCAATTAACTTAAGATTAATTCAATTTCATCGATTATTAACAATTTTCGAGTTGATGCTCCTACATATGTATGTATAATAATCTCAGGTAGTAGTAATAAAATAAAATAATAAAATAGTAGTAAATTACTTTTTTTAATCAACAATAAACAATTTACTGTAATTAATGAATACATATTGACAACTGTGTTTTAAATTCCTACATTAAATTTACAATTTAATTTAAAACCAATTATTTATCATTTATTAATTTGAGTGCCACCCACTCACCATAATGAATCAATGTATCAATTAGCAGGAAAAAGCATGCTCAGTAAAGAAAAAAAATCAGCTTGTTGAAAGCAGTGGTCGGTACCGGGAGAACATAACTCACATTTCTTAAATCAAACAAACTTTTTTGAAAATAAAAATGTCAAAGTTTTACCATTTACATTTATATCGAGAACATGTTAGTAATAAAATTCTGTTTGCTTTTAATTAAAATGGAAGCCGACCACTGTTTTAAAGAGACATAAATATTCAAGGTTTTAAACCGAATACATTAACATAAATTCAATAATCAATTAATTAAGTAAAAACAACCACAAATTAAAAACTTTTTAAGGGATTTTTTAAGCAACAACAAAAACTATATTAAGATTTAAAATTTAATATTTTCTAGAAAATATTTAAATTTTTTTCTTTTTTTTAACTTTAGATGTGTTCATGAGTATATGGATATATACTCAGAAGTGCAATCATCGGAACCAGCAGAACTGATAAATTCACCATTTGGTGGCCGTTATTGTGGTACAATACCACCCAGACAACGCATTTCCATGTATCGTGCCATTGCCATTTCGTTTTTTACAAATAAAAATATCACCACACCCGATCTATTTGAAGGCACATTTCGTTTTATAAATGCATGTAAGTATAATGCGAAATTGTTTTTTTAATTAAAAAAACTTATATTTTTAATTTTTATTAACAAATTTTCAACTTTTTTCCTTATTAACCAAAACAAAATATAGCGGAATATGAAATTGGTATACCAATAGCTGGTTCACCATGTTCCTATACAATAACACCCAGTTTGAGTATAAATAAAACGGGCGTTTTAATATCGCCCACCTATCCGGGTGCCTATCCCAAGGATATGTCTTGTACATATCAATTTTTGGGTGAATCGAATCAAAGAGTTAGATTAGAATTTCGTGATTTTGATCTGTTTTTTGGTGGACCACAGTGAGTACCATTAATAGCTGTCATAAGAAATGTTAACAAAAGAAATGTCATAAAAGAAGAAACCTTATATAGGAATATTTTTAAGGAAAGCTAACTTAAAGTGTATATTTAGAACTAAAATATATACTTTAAGGTTTTAGTTAAGCTTTCCTTTTTCTTTTATTTTAGCAAAATTATAAAATTTTTCTTTATAAAAAAAATTCTTAAAAAACTCTTTTTTATTTGAAATTTGTTTTAAATTAGCTGCCCATTCGATTATGTTAAAGTTTATGATGGTCCCGACAATTCATCAGCATTAATTGGTACATATTGCGGACAGCAAAGAAATTTAGTTTTATATTCTAGCGAATCAAGTCTATTTGTGCATTTTTTTACCTTGTCACGTACGGCAAATACTCAAAATCGTGGTTTTAAAGGAATTTATGAATTTAGTGAAAGTTTTGTTAAATTAGATTTTATACGTAAGTATTTTATTTAATCTATTACCTTTTTTCCAATTATATTTAATGTTTTTATGTTTTTGATTTAATTTAAATTTATTTTAATTTACATCAAATCAGTATTTTCAAAAACATCTATTTTATGTCGAAATTTTAAGTTAATTGAGCCTTTTTCTTTACTAAATCTTGAGCCTGTTAGCTCAAAATTTCGCTAGTATATCATGAGTCAGTTAATTTAAGTTTTCCTCAGTATGTCCTGAGCCAGTTATGTCAAGATTTTTTCAAATTTGGAGCCAGTTAATGAATTATCTCAGGATCCCTTTATAAATCTTACGACAGTTATCTTAAGGTTTCTTTAGTAAATATTAAGCCAATTAGCATAAGATTTCTTCGATAAAGTCAATTAGCTCAATATTTCTTAAAAATTATTGAACCACTTAACTCAAGATTTCTTTAGTTAATATTGAGCAAGTTCGCTCAAGATTCCTTCACTATATTCTGAGCCAGTTATCTCAAGGTTTCTTTAGTTAATCTTGAGCTTGTTAGCTCAAGATTTTACTAGAAAATCTTGAGTTAATCTTTAGTAAATCTTGAGTCAGTTAACTCAAGATTCATCTGAAAATCTTGAGTTAATCTTTAATATATTTTGAGTCAGTTAACTCAAGATTCATCTGAAAATCTTTAGGTTTCTTTTAATCAATTTTGAGTCATTTAGCTCAAGATTCATCAGTTGAGCTATTTAGATCAATATTACTTTAGTATATCCTGAGCCAGTCACGTCAAGATTTCTTATGTAACTATTAAACCTGTTAGCTCCAAATTATCTCAATTTTTTTGTTTTTGGAAAATTGGAAACAATTAACCCAACATTTCTTAAGTTATATCACTATTACTTTAATAAATCGTTAGCCTGTTAGCTTAAGATTTCTTTAGTACATATTGAGTCAATTAGTACAAGATTTCTTCAAAATTATTGAACCACTTAACTCAAGATTTCTTTAGTTAATATTGAGCAAGTTCGCTCAAGATTCCTTCACTATATTCTGAGCCAGTTAGCTCAAGGTTTCTTGAAAATCTTGACTTAATCTTTGGTAAATCTTGAGTCAGTTAACTCAAGATTCATCTGAAAATCTTGAGTTAACCTTTAATAAATCTTGAGTCAATTAACCCAAGATTCATCAGTTGAGCTATTTAGATCAATATTACTTTAGTATATCTTGAGCCAGTCACGTCAAGCTCAACATTTGCTCAACAGTTTGTTTTGTTGTAAAATTGGAACCAATTAACCCAACATTTCTTGAGTTATCTCAGGATTCCCCTAATAAATCTTTAGCCAGTTAGCTTAATATTTCTTTAGTAAATATTCAGTCAATTAATTCAAGATTTCTCTAGCATATATTGAGCCAATTAGCTCAAAATTGCTCTAGTAATTATTAGATTTCTTTACTAATAGTAAAGCGATTATTACAGGATTTCTTTAATAAATATTGAAATATTAGTTCATGATATCTGCAATAAATATTGAGTCAATTCGCTCATTGAGCCAATTAGTTCATAATATCTGCAATAAATATTGAGTCAATTTGCCCTAAATATCTTTAGTAATTGTTGAGCCAATATGCTCAAGATTTCTTTACTAATTATGAGCCTCAAAATTTCTTAAGTAAATCTTGAGAAATGTATCTTAAAATTGAGCCGATTACTTCAGATTTCTTTAGCAATTAGGCCAAGATTTCATTAGTAAATCTTGACAAAATGAACTCATTAGCTCAAGATCTATTTAGCGAATCAATAGCCTCAAATAGCTAAATATTGACAGAGTTAGTTTAATATTCCAATATAAATATTGAGCCAGTTAGCTCAAGATTTCTTTAAAAAAATATTGAATAAATCTAGATCTAACTGGATGTACTCTTAAGCCAGTCAGCTCCAGAATTATTCTTTAACTAAATAATTTCAATATATAACCATCGCTCCTAGTTCATTTAACATATTGAAATATTTTTCCATTAATTTGTAATTTAAAAAAGTTTTCAGCCTTAAAATTATTTTGATTTGCATTTAATAGCTTCAATGTATGTGTGTGTTATATTTAAAAAAACCAAGCGAGGATTATTGATGCATTTTTTCTATGATTTAAAATCTTTTTTAAATTAATTTTTATTTAATTGGTATAATTACATTAAAACTAATTACAAAACCAAATTTACTTTCTTTCCTTAAACTATAACCTTTCAAAACTATTACAAAATCTACCACAATATTGGATCTAACAAACTCAAAAACAAAACTGATACTGAACTATTTGAATTTAAAACTATTTTATTCATAAACCCAACAAAAAACTACTCTTAACAATCAATGCAACAACAAACATTTCGCTAATGTTCAAAAATTGAAAATTGTTTAAAATCGCAAAAAAAAAAACAAAAGGTGAAAATGATGGCATTCACATACGTGGCTCAGAATGTGATCAAAAGATATTGTCGAGAAAGGAATCAACAGGTTTTGTACTCTCACCAAATTATCCTTATCCTTATATACCAAAAACTGTATGTCGGTAAGTAAAATTCAAAACATTCTTACTTCTTAACTGTAAAAGTATTTTTAACATTTCAAATCTTTTTACAGATATTTCATTTATGGCATGCAAGATGCCCAACATTTGGAACGCGTACGTTTAGAGTTTACAGCATTTAATATACCGCGTGTGGAAAGTAAAGATAAGGATAAAGAGTAAGTAAACTTTCGTTATATTTATATGGATATAAGAAATAACAGTTAATTTTACTTGTTGCAGAACCAACTGCTCCGATGGTTATTTGAAAATCTATCTCAAGGGCCAGGAAACTGCCGATGCTTACGATAAATTCGATTATGAATTGTGCGGCAATGAAACTCAACGTGTTGTTAGTGATGGACCACGCCTAGCGATGGTTTTCAGTTCGGGCGAGCTAATGGGTCGTGGCTTTAAAGGCAAATATGTTTTTGAAACGGAATATAAAATTCCGGGTACAGCTGCACCCGATGGCAGTTGTAGTTTTACGTATGTGAGTTCATCGAAGAAACGTGGCGAACTGAATAGCCCCCGCTATCCATCCAATTATCCGTCGGATACGAATTGTTCGTATTTGTTCTTGGCCGAACCCAATGAGCAGGTGACAATTGTATTTGATCATTTTAAAATTAAGGCGGATGGCAATTCAAATGTTACAGCTGGAGCGTATGGGTAAGTTTTTGTTCTTTTAAATAGTTCATAAAAGCCTAAGGATTACTTAAGGAGGATTTATTTCACAAATCTAGATTTAACTAGATCAAGTTTAATAAAGATATCCTGAGCTAACCTCTTAAGATTACTAAAGAGATCATGAGCTAACTAGCTCTAGATTTACTAAAAATATCTTGAGCTAACTAGCTTATGATTTACTAAAGAGATCCTGATTTTACAAGATCAAGATTTACTAAAGCTAACTAGCTCACGATTTACTAAAGAGATGCTAATCTTGAGCTAGATTTTCTAAAATGATCTTCAGCTAACTAGCTCAAGATTACTAAAGATATATCCTGATCTAAAGAGATCCTGATCTCACTAGCTCAAGATTTGCTAATTAGCTCAAGATTTCTAAAAATATCCTGAACTAACTGGCTCAATATCTTGAGCTAACTACTAAGATTACTAAAAAGTACTAGAGCTAGCTCATGATTTACTAAAGATCTCCTGAGATTACTAACTCAACATGTGCTATGAAGATCTTCAGCTAACTAGGTAAAGATTACTATCCTACTAACTTACTCAAGATTTAAAAGAGATTTCTTTATGTAATAGATCAATACTACAAAACAGATCTTGAGATTTACTAAGGATTTACTAACTTACTCAAGATTTAAAAGAGATTTCTTTATGTAATAGATCAATACTACAAAACAGATCTTGAGATTTACTAAGGAGATCTTTAGCTAACTAGCTTACGATTTACTAATGAAATTTTGATGTAATTAAAAAGAAATTAAATCTTCAACAAATTGAAGAAAATACTGAAACATTTTTAAATTCAATTCAACATTCTCTCTTCGTAGATCGATTATATGCTTTGAAGATTGGTTGGAAATGTACGTCGTCTATCGTGATAACAATGATCGTTTTCTTGGTCGTTACTGTGGTATGACAGCGCCCGGCCCCGTCGAGAGCCCAAGGGGTGCAGTGGGTCTGCGTATTACATTGCATACCGATCAAGAGAATGTGGCAAGCGGTTTTAAGGCTCGTTACTTTTTCGAAACTGCTAAAAGTGAAATAGGCGACTGTGGAGGCAACTTTTCCAATGAAGATTCAGGCATTATAACCTCACCTAACTATCCGGCCGGCTATAAGGCACCCGGTCGTGGTATGGCTTCAATGGCATGCAATTGGTTGATGACAGCCAGACCCGGTTATAAATTATCAATACATTTCGAACAGTTTTCATTGGAGGGTGATCCAGCAAGTGAGTTTGAAATTAATTAAAATAAGTTATATTTAAAATAAATATGATTTATTTTGTTTATTAAATTTACAAGATCGTGGTTGCCCAGCTGCTGTTTTACGTCTTTGGGTTAATGTTGACTCCGATCAGCCGCCTTTGGAATTGTGTGGCGAAAAGCCACCCATGGAACAATGGCATTATATTTCTACGGGACAAACGGCCCGTATTAGTTTTACCACCAGTGATAAAACTGTTGGTGCACAGGTGAGTTTTTATGAAATTTATATAATTGTTACGTTTATTTAAACTAAAAATTATTTTATTTAGGGCTTCCGTATTGTATGGACTGAAATACAAGACTCTGGACCAGGACCACCATCTATAGGTTTGCTGTGCGAGTCCACCTATCATTTTCAATGTGAGGTGGGCTATTGTATTTCGGATAAATTGCGTTGTGATGGTGTCAAAAACTGTGGTCCCAATGATGATAGTGACGAATTGCACTGTGAGTCGTGAGTGAGTCGAACGGTTCAGTTCATTTTTTTATTTCATTTTTTATTATTATTTTTACTATTTTCTTTTTGTTTATTTTTTTATTTGTATGTATTTTGTTTATGATTCTTCCTAAATTGCATTTTAATTATAACTTTATTGTTAGGTCCATTTTGGGCTAAAACTTTTAAGCAAATTAAAAAGAAGAATTTTAAACAACAAATACTAGTCTCAAGACAAAATAATTGAAGAGACTTTGCTTTTAATTGTTGTTTTTTCTTTGAAGAAAATCCAACAATAAGTATTTACATGATATAACAAAAATGTTTTTATTTCAAATTTGTTTGCAAAATTTTTTTAATGAAAACATTTTTTTTGTTATTTATATTATTTTATAATTATATAAGTTATTTAGTTTACTTATTTTTACTACATATTTCTTTTAGTTTTTCTCTTAATTTAGTTGTTCTTTTAATTACTTTACTTTACTTTATTATGATAATAATTAATACCTATGAAACTTGAACCCGACGATATACACTTTTTCCAAAAACATATTTAAACATATATTCTTAAACTAAACTCTTTAACTAAACTTAATTAATTTACTAAATTTAATTATAAAACTATGTATTTAACACTCACATTTTCAATTAACAAAAACAACAAGTAAACAACTTTAAATTTGTCTGAAAAGAAAAATCACTTTTCTAAGAAAGATATTAGGAATATTTGTTATGAGGCAAGTCAGAACCTGATCTTTTAAATTACGAATAATTGACTCGTGGGAACATAGCATATGTAATTATAACGGAAACTTTGTGAATCATAATAAATACAATGTTCCTACACTCTTTTTCAACACCTAAATAAAATCTTTATCAAAGTGGAAATCTTTTCTTTAGAAAGTGATTTTTTAAAAAACTTTTTTAATTCTACAATTATGTAGTTGTGATGAAATGTAATGCATGTTTTCCTTAATCTAATTATTGTCCAAGTTGTTTACTTACGTATTTTCGTTTTATATGTATTTAATATTTAAAAAATCCTTAAAATTGCATTCGATATTTAAACAAAATTTTGATTTTTGTTTTAGTTTGTGTCAATTTATGTTAGTGTCAATTAAATAATGAAAAAATTTATAAACTAAACTTAGAAAATTAAGAAATTTTAATTGAAATTACTTATTAGGACTTTCGATGAAGATCGTATAACATTTGGTTAAAATTTCTTACCAAATAATATGTATATGTATATTTAAGTTCCTTGCCAAAAACAAACGGAATCTAAAGGAACTAGATCAAAATCTATCGGTATAAATGTGAATTTGAAATCAATATTAATGGAATGTGTGCTAGACCTATTTCAAATTCTAATACTCATTAATGATTTTAGTATCAGAACATGATAATAGAACATTTTACGAATCGATTAGTTAGTTATTCGATATAATTATGGTTCAATAATTTTTATTTTAATATTTAATGGTCCCAGATCTTGCAACAAAATTCCGAAAAAGGATAGTGTGAATCTATATCGCATGTTTTTGCAAAGATCTAATGAACTTTATTTCATTAAATCGTCATGTACCTATATACATATATTCTGAATATTCTTCCGACAATAATCAATAAGAATTGTCGACCGATCAACATATTAACCTGTCAAACACATTAAGTCCTATTCTTAATAACAATTCCCTAAAAATTCTTGTTCCTATTTATATATGTGTAAAATGTGAAATAGGGAAGAAGTTTTCAGAATTTTTAGTAAATCTTGAGATAGTTAGCTCAAGATCTCTTTAAAAGTCTTGAGCTAGCCAGCTGAAGATCTTTTCAGTAAATCTTGAGCTAGTTAGCTGAAGATATTTTTAGTAAATCTTGAGCTAGTTAGCTGAAGATCTTTTAAGTAAATATTGGACTAGCTACCTCAAGATCACTTTAGTAAATCTTGAGCTAGTTAGCTCAGGATCTCTTTAGAAGTGTTGAGATAGCCAGCTGAAGTAAATCTTGAGCTAGTTAGCTGAAGATCTTTTTAGTAAATATTAAACTAGTTACCTCAAGATCGTTTTAGTAAATTTTGAGCTAGTTAGCTTAAGATCTTGTGAAGTAAATCTTGAAATAGTTACCTTAAGATTACTTTTGAAATCTCAAGATCTCTTAAGTAATCTTGGGCTAGTTAGGTTAAGTTCGCTTTAGTAAATCTTGAGCTATTTGGCACAAGATCTTTTCAAAATCTTGAGCTTGTAAGTTCAGGATCTCATTAGTAAATCATGAGCTTGTTAGCTCAATATATTTTTAGTAAATCTTCAGTTGTCTTGAGCTAGTAACCTCGAGATGTCTTTAGCAAATCTTGATGGTTAATCTTGAGCTAATTAACTCAATATTTCTATAATAAATCGTAATCCAGTTAGTCCAGTATTGGTTTTAGTTAATCTGTATCTACATAAGTAAATCTTAAGCTAATAATGAAGTTCTTGAAAAAGAACAAGAACTTATACATACGCTCTGGCTGTAACATTTGAATTGCCATTCGTTTTAATCTTAATATATCAAATACAACTGTCTCCCGGTCATTGGGTTCGGCCAAGAACAATACAAATAATTAGTATCCGACGGATAATTGGATGTATAGTGGCGACTATTCGGTTCAAGAATCATCTTGCATATATGATGATTATCAGTATTAACCGGTCAATCATATTGAGCTCTATTCTTAATAATATTTCCCTGGAAACTCAATTCCATTCCTATATAAAAGACATATAATTTTTATTCAGAATAGGGCTTATTGAGAACTGGTATTTCTGAAAGTTTAGATCTTGATTCTCTGCAATATTTACATATAATCAAAACGATAGATTAATCTTAAGCTAAAATTAAAACAAGTTACAGGTTTAATTTTCTAAAATTTAAGAGTGTTTTCAAAAACCTTCAGACTTAAAATTTTATTTTTATAAACAAAACAATTAAATTTATTACATAAATATTATTCAAAAACCTTCAGACTTAATGTTTTATTCTTATAAACAAAACAATTAAATTTATTACATAAATATTATTAAATTTTTGTAAACGTTAAACCATATGTAGTTTCAAATAGTTGTGTTTTTCTTTTAATAATAAAACTAAATAATCATCTAACTATTCCATGAATTAAAAGAAAATAATATAAAATTAAATCAAATCATCCTCTTGATTAAGTTTATTTTATTTTTCTTAATTTTCTTTATTTTAACAAATTATAATTCATAACTCCTCTTTCCACTATACACTATATTTCTTCCTGTCTATTTTGAAATCCTGTCTTCTACATACAAAATAAACGTGTATTCTTCTACTTTTCTTGTTTTTCTATTCTTATTCTTCTACTTTTTTTCTACCAAAACTACAACAACAAATCTTTAAAAAAACTCATTATTTAATAATAAAATAAAATAACACAGGTGACGGAACAATTTCAAATCATTCAATATCAATATTATTACAAATTATTAATTTAGCAATATGTCTAAATATATTAATGTAATTTTAATAAAGTTTTTTAAATTCGATATTCTACATATTGCTAATTTAGTAATTAATTAACTTTACTTTGATTAAATTTCAAATTCATTTCAATATAAAAACTTGATCACCACAATAAAACAAACAAAAAATGTTTAAAACACGTGAGTTTCTCTTCTCTGTCTCTCTATTTTAAACAAACTACTTTTAAAAATAATTAATTATAATTTTTTTATTAATTGTTTTGGTTTTATTTGTACAAAATAACATTTACTACTTAAAAACAACATTTTGACACTCCCACCAAATATCATTTATTTAAAACTCAAAGTTCAAATTCATGTTTTGGCTTTCTTAATACTTACACCTCATTGAACATTATCTGGACATTACAAATAAAATACATAGATAGTTAAGCTTTTTGATCTATGAGATACTTGATATATGAAAAAGTTTTTGAAGAGCTTTAAAATGTTCTGAATTACAAAAAAACCTTCCAGAGTTTTATCTTTCCCGATTTAGAACATTTCTTTTATATGAAAGTACATATCTAATCTAGCCTAAAGTCTAGTCTAGTACATAGTCTATAGTCTAGTCTATAGTCTAGTCTATAGTCTGGTCTATAGTCTAGTCTATAGTCTAGTCTATAGTCTAGTCTATAGTCTGGTCTATAGTCTAGTATATAGTCTAGTCTATAGTCTAGTCTATAGTCTAGTCTATAGTCTAGTCTATAGTCTAGTCTATAGTCTAGTCTATAGTCTAGTCTATAGTCTAGTCTATAGTCTAGTCTATAGTCTAGTCTATAGTCTAGTCTATAGTCTAGTCTATAGTCTAGTCTATAGTCTAGTCTATAGTCTAGTCTATAGTCTAGTCTATAGTCTAGTCTATAGTCTAGTCTATAGTCTAGTCTATAGTCTAGTCTATAGTCTAGTCTATAGTCTAGTCTATAGTCTAGTCTATAGTCTAGTCTATAGTCTAGTCTATAGTCTAGTCTATAGTCTAGTCTATAGTCTAGTCTATAGTCTAGTCTATAGTCTAGTCTATAGTCTAGTCTATAGTCTAGTCTATAGTCTAGTCTATAGTCTAGTCTATAGTCTAGTCTATAGTCTAGTCTATAGTCTAGTCTATAGTCTAGTCTATAGTCTAGTCTATAGTCTAGTCTATAGTCTAGTCTATAGTCTAGTCTATAGTCTAGTCTATAGTCTAGTCTATAGTCTAGTCTATAGTCTAGTCTATAGTCTAGTCTATAGTCTAGTCTATAGTCTAGTCTATAGTCTAGTCTATAGTCTAGTCTATAGTCTAGTCTATAGTCTAGTCTATAGTCTAGTCTATAGTCTAGTCTAGTCTATAGTCGTCTATAGTCTAGTCTATAGTCTAGTCTATAGCCTAGTCTATAGTCTAGTCAACAGTCTAGTATATAGTCTAGTCTATAGTCTAGTCTATAGCCTAGTCTATAGCCTAGTCTATAGTCTAGTCTATAGTCTAGTCTATAGTCTAGTCTATAGTCTAGTCTATAGTCTAGTGTATAGTCTAGTCTATAGCCTAGTCTATAGTCTAGTCTATAGCCTAGTCTATAGCCTAGTCTATAGTCTAGTCTATAGTCTAGTCTATAGTCTAGTCTATAGTCTAGTCTATAGTCTAGTCTATAATAGAAAAAATAGAAAAAATTAAAAAACAAAATCCTATAATAAATGGTGAATTAAAATTAATACAAAAATACGAATATAAAATTAATGATAAAAGAAAAATTTATACTATAAAAGTAATCGTGGACAATGATACGTATTATAAACTAATATCGGAGCAGAAAATAAACATAGGTTGGGAAAGATGTAGAGTATTCGATGGAACTGATATAATACAATGCATGAAATGTAGAGGATATAATCATAAAGCCAGAGAATGTAAAAATCAAGAATGTTGCTTAAAATGCCATGGTTGCCATAAAACAAAAGAATGTGACAAAGAACAAATAAATAAATGTATTAATTGTATTAGAATGAACAACAGATTAAATATGGGGTTAGATGACAATCATCAAACGAATAATAAAGAGTGTCCGGTATACCAAAACAAATTGAAAATAAAGAAAAAAAACCTAGGCCTCTATGAGTAACAATTAAAGTATATTCGTGGTGCTTACACAAATGTGCAAGGATTAATAAATAATTTTAATTTAATTGAAATAATGGCTGAAAGTGGAAATTTTGACTTCATAATTTTATCTGAGACACATTTTACTAGCGAACATGAAAGTAGTGAAATTATATTACCCAAATACGAACATTTAATATCACTGTCTAACTCTCGAAGAACTGGAGGTGTAATAATTTATTTTAAAAAAGAATGGAGAATAAATAAAATAATGGAAAAAAACGAAGACTCTAAATATTGGATACTTTTATGCAAAGCTGAACTCTACAATACAAACATTGTTATTGGTGCGGTATATAGATCACCTAGTTGTAGCGAGGCGGAATTTTGTACAATTTTCAACGATATACTCGAAGTGATATGTGATATTAACTGTGATATTATAATAAGTGGAGATTTTAATATTGACTGGTTACAGAACAGTTTTTACAAAAACAAGATAGAGAACATAATAAATGATAATGGTCTGAATCAAATAGTAAATAAATATACTCGTGTAACAAATAGATCCAATACTTTAATAGACTATGTCCTGACAAATAGTGAAAATGTGTCTATAGAAAACAGTGCTAATAATAATATAGCGGACCACGAAACATTAGTTGTTAATATAAAAACCAAATATGACAAAGAAACACATAATGAAACCAAAGAAATATTTAATTATAAAAAAAACTTATTTTATAGTTATTTAAGTGAAATAATAGCTCCAAATCTAAGTGATGACATAAATGAAATGGCATCGAATTTAGATAAATGTTTTGATGAAACAGTGAACAAATTTACGTATAGAAAAACAATAACACAACGAAGTAACATCAATAATTGGTTTAACTCAGAACTAAAAAGATTAAAAATAGATAAAATAAGAAAACATGAATTAGCCAAATTTCAAAATACGAATGAAGCGTGGTCAATCTATATATCGAGTAGAAACTTATACAAAACAAAAGTACAAAATGAAAAGAAGAAATACATAAATAACAAAATAACCAATGCGAAAGATCAAAAACAAATGTGGAACCAAATAAAAAACTTAGTGCTTAGAAAAAACCAAACTGTGATAAAATCTGTGATATTTAATCAAATAGAATATAAGGAAAATAAACAAATAGCTGACGAATTTAACAAATACTTTATAAATAGTATAAGAGAGATAAGAGATTCCATTGAAAATGTGCAATATTCAAATAGTATACAACCAGTAATAACTAATTTTAAATTCCGTGCAATAAATAATATAGAACTAAGACATATAATAAGTAAAATGAATAAAAAACAAGATTTTAACAAGATATCAAATAAAATCATTCTAGACAATTGGAGCTTAGTGGGTGACATTTTAGTCAATATAATTAATAAATCACTGGAAAGTGGAGAATTTCCAACAAATTGGAAAGAAACCATAATAACACCAATAGAAAAAGTCAAAAACACGAGAAATTGTGAAGAATTTAGACCGATAAACTCATTAAAAACATGTGAAAAAATTCTTGAAAAAGTAGTAAAAGAACAACTCGAAATATATCTAGAGGAAAATTCAATTTTATCTAAATATCAATCGGGATTTCGAAATAAATATTCGTGTGAAACTACAGTGAACTATGTAGTAAACAGATGGAAAAATAAAAAGAAAAATAATAAAATAATGGCAATATTTCTGGACTTTAAGAGAGCATTCGAAACAATAGACCGCAAAATATTATTAAAAAAGATGTACATGTACGGAATACAAAATAATGAACTAAAATGGTTTAATTCGTATTTAACTAATAGAATTCAATACACTAAAATTAACAATATAAAATCTAATTCAAGTATAAATGATTACGGTGTTCCACAGGGATCAATCCTGGGTGCATTGTTATTCATTATATATATAAATGATATGCCAAATGTTTTGGAAAAAAGTGAAATTATTTTATATGCGGACGATACATTAATATTTGCTGAGGACGAGAATGATAACAATTGTAAAGATAATTTAGAGCACGATATGAACAATATCAATAACTGGTTGAAAATGAATAAACTAAAATTAAATGAAAATAAAACTAAAATAATGGAAATTAACATTACAAACAGTGCAATATTTACAATAAATAATAATATAATAGAAAAAGTAAATCAAATTAAATATCTCGGTTTTATAATTGATAAGGAACTAAGCTTTAAAGATCACATAGATTATATATGTAAAAAAATTGCCAAAAAAATCGGTTTTTTCAAACGAATAAGAAAGAATATATCAACAATGACATCAATTAATGTTTATAATACAATAGTAAAACCACATTTCGAGTACGGTTCCACAATCATATATACATGCTGTAAAACAACACAATTAGAAAGATTACAAAAATTTCAAAACAAGGCTATGAGAATAATACTTAAATGTAACAGATATACATCAATACAACTAATGCTAAATATACTAAACTGGATGAATATCAAGCAAAGACTAGAGTTAAATACAATACTATTTATACAAAAAATGAAGAGCGGAAAAGCACCAGGATATCTATGCGAACAATTAAATTATGTAGGTGATATACAACCATATAGACTGAGAAATGCAGAAGACTTCAGACTACGGCCAGCACATAACACAACTGCGCAGCTATCATTATTCTATAAAGGACTTAAACTATATAACTCCATGCCAACATATATAAAAAAAGAAAGAAATGAATATGTATTTAGGAAAGAATGTGTAAATTTTGTTAAAAATAATACAAATGTACTTTTATAGAGCTAAAATTAATTTAATGATTATGTAATCAAATTGTAACCAAAATTGTAACTTAAAAGTATTAATAATACTAATAAATAATAATAATAATAAAAAAAAATAGTCTAGTCTATAGTCTAGTCTAGTCTATAGTCTAGTCTATAGTCTAGTCTATAGTCTAGTCTATAGCCTAGTCTATAGTCTAGTCAACAGTCTAGTATATAGTCTAGTCTATAGTCTAGTCTATAGTCTAGTCTATAGTCTAGTCTATAGTCTAGTCTATAGTCTAGTCTATAGTCTAGTCTATAGTCTAGTCTATAGTCTAGTCTATAGTCTAGTCTATAGTCTAGTCTATAGTCTAGTCTATAGTCTAGTCTATAGTCTAGTCTATAGTCTAGTCTATAGTCTAGTCTATAGTCTAGTCTATAGTCTAGTCTATAGTCTAGTCTATAGTCTAGTCTATAGTCTAGTCTATAGTCTAGTCTATAGTCTAGTCTATAGTCTAGTCTATAGTCTAGTCTATAGTCTAGTCTAGTCTATAGTCTAGTCTATAGTCTAGTCTATAGTCTAGTCTAGCCTAGTCTATAGTCTAGTCAACAGTCTAGTATATAGTCTAGTCTATAGTCTAGTCTATAGTCTAGTGTATAGTCTAGTCTATAGCCTAGTCTATAGTCTAGTCTATAGCCTAGTCTATAGCCTAGTCTATAGTCTAGTCTATAGTCTAGTCTATAGTCTAGTCTATAGTCTAGTCTATAGTCTAGTGTATAGTCTAGTCTATAGCCTAGTCTATAGTCTAGTCTATAGCCTAGTCTATAGCCTAGTCTATAGTCTAGTCTATAGTCTAGTCTATAGTCTAGTCTATAGTCTAGTCTATAGTCTAGTCTATAGTCTAGTCTATAGTCTAGTCTATAGGCTAGTCTGTAGTCTAGTCTATAGTCTAGTTTATGGTGTAGTGTATTGTCTAGCCTATAGTCTGGTCTATAGTATATAGTATATAGTCTTGTCTATAGTCTAGTCTATAGTCTACTCTATAGTCGTCTATAGTCTAGTCTAGGCTATAGTCTCGTCTAAAATAAAATATGAGTACTCAAATATCAGAAAAATTTCTTCCGAAAATAAATTACTAATCATAATTTTAAAGCTCTTATTTTAAGCTTTCATTATCAATATCTTACATCTCAGTTAAATAATTTTCATAAAATCCTTTTACATAATTTTCATAAAAAGTCGTTTTCGAAGGCACCACTTGACTTATTAAATAGTAAAACAAAACAGCTTTCAACATATTTATTAAAAACAACAAAAACGTCATTCATTAAACAAAATACTAAAATAACAAAACGTTTTGGTAGTTTAGTTATTTTTCAAAATAGTTTAGAAAATTTCCAATTTCGTGTTCATATCCAATCCAACCATTGCTACAGCATTGAAAAAAAAATTAATAAAAAATATTCCATAAATATTATAATAGTAAAGAAATTTAATTTAGAATAGTCGTTCCTTAAAATGTAATAAAAAATAAACGTAATATGTCAGCACGTGATTGTCTTAATTAAATGCACATTTTTAAATATAAGTAATTATAAAAGTAGTTGTGTTTCATGTAAAAATCGAAAAACAAATCTCAAGCACTTGATGTGTATATTTTTTTTTCTTAAAAGATTAGTTTAGAAAACTAAATATTTAGTGTTGCTTTTAAAACAAAACAGAAATAAAAGCTTTAATTATATACCTAGACTAAAATGTCAACAAAATTTTAATTTTCAGATTAAAACAGCACATTTCAAAATACTACAAAATTTCCAAAATTTGCCACAAACAAACTTATTATTTGTATACATTAATGTAAAGATAACACTATTATTTATAAGCTATTATTACTAACTATTAAAAAACTTATGTATTATATACTATATTTACTTATTCTTAAATAATCTTATAAAATTTTTGTATAATTCCAAATAATAATTTATATTTTTTTATTCTCCTCTTTTTTTTTTTTTTTCTTCGTAAAATTTTCTTTATCCTTTTCCTTTTAATCCTCCTCTCTTATTTTATTTAAAATGCTTTTTACGAAAAAATAAAAAAACGAAAATACTTTTAAATCCCCCTCATATAAAGGTATCACAAAAGCGCAAGCGGAGGATCACGGCGTTCTAATTATAACAACACTTCTCGTCGTCTCGTTCCTAATTTGTCTCCTATGCATACTCTATCACTCCAGAAGAAAACGTAGACAACAACTTCATCAAATGGGTTTGCATCGTAATGCTCATTATGATTCACAAACTAGTGCTACTGGTAAGTATTCGTGTTTCGTGCTGATATCAGTTTATATATTATTTTATTATTTTTATTGGAATTTTGTAATAATTTCAGTTTTTAGAAGATTTTAAGTTTGATTTGAGAGTTTTATTATTTTCATCTGTTTAATATAAGGTAAATTATGTTTTATATTTGATTTTCTAAAAGTCATACTTTATAAAATCTATAGTACATACCATAGTCTATAGTCCAAACTATAGTCAAATATATAGTCCTGACTATAGAGGAATCTATAGTCCAGGCTAAAGACGAATCTATGGACTGAACTATAGAAGAATCCATAGTCTATAGACTATAGACAAATTCAAAGTCCAGACAATACAATTCTATAATGCAGACTGTAGAAAATCTATAGTCCAGACTATAGACGAATCTGTAGTCCATACTATAGACGAACCTATAATCCAGACTATAGACGAATCTATAGCCCAGACTATAAACAAATCTATTATCCAGACTATAGACGAATCTATAGTCCAGACTATAGACGAATCTATAGTTCAGACTATAGACCAATCTATAATCCAGACTATAGATCAATCTATTGTCCATACTATAGATAAATCCATAGTCCAGACTGTAGTCAAATCTATAGTCCAGACTATCGACAAATTCAAGACTATAGAAAATCTATAGTCCAGACTATAGACGAATCTATAGTCCAGACTATAGACGAATCTATAGTCCAGACTATAGACGAATCTATAGTCCAGACTATAGACGAATCTATAGTCCAGACTATAGACGAATCTATAGTCCAGACTATAGACGGATCTATAGTCCATACTATAGACGAATCTATAATCCAGACTATAGACGAATCTATAATCCAGACTATAGACGAATCTATAGTCCAGACTATAGACGAATCTATAGTCCAGACTATAGACGAATCTATAGTCCAGATTATCGACAAATTCAAGACTATAGAAAATCTATAGTCCAGACTATAGACGAATCTATAGTCCAGACTATAGACGAATCTATAGTCCAGACTATAGACGGATCTATAGTCCATACTATAGACGAATCTATAATCCAGACTATAGACGAATCTATAATCCAGACTATAGACGAATCTATAGTCCAGACTATAGACGAATCTATAGTCGAGACTATAGACGAATCTATAGTCCAGACTATAGACGAATCTATAGTCCAGACTATAGACGAATCTATAGTCCAGACTATAGACGAATTTATAGTCCAGACTATAGACGAATCTATAGTCCAGACTATAGACGAATCTATATTTCAGACTATAAACGAATCTATAGTTCAGACTATAGCCGAATGTATAGTCCAGACTATAGATGAATCTATTGTCCATACTATAGATGAATCTATAGCCCAGACTATAGACGAATCTGTAGTCCAGACCATGGACAGACCTATATTCCAGACTAGAAAATCTCTAGACAGATCTATAATCAGACAATAGACAATTATGTTATCCAGACTATAGACGAATCCATCGTCTGTAGACGAATCCATCGTCTGTAGACGAATCTACAGAGCAGACTATAGACATATCTATAGTTCAGAGTATAGAAAAATCTATAGTACAGAAAATATATAGACAAATCTATGTTTAGACTACAGACGAATCCATAATCCAGACTGTAAGCGAATCTATAGTCCAGACTATTGATAATTACAGAGTCCATACAATACATATATAGAGTCTGGAATATAGAATTGTCTATAATCTGGACTATAGAATTGTCTATAATCTGCACTACAGATTTGTCTACAGTCTGCACTATAGATTTGTCTATGGTCTGCACTATAGACAAATCTGTAGTGCAATATAAAATTCAATAGTCCAGATTATAGACAATTCTATTGTTTATACTATAAACATTTTTATAGTCCAGACTATAGACATTTTTATAGTCCGGACAATACACATATCTATAGGTGATACCAAAGACAATTTTATATACCAGACTATAAACAATTCTATAGCCCTGACTAAAGACATAACAGTAGTCCAGACTAAATTTAATTGTCATTAATATACGAATTCTAATTTTGTTCGAAATTTTCCCTCTTCCCTATAGGTTTAAATTCAAGTCGCCGACATTTACAAAGTGGTGGTGCCAGTATTGCTGGCAGTTTGCATGGCATTAATAGTGGCAATTTAATAATACCACCGGCACCACTGCCTCCACGAGCCATACATCAACCACCACACATCTGTATATCGGGTTCCAGTCTCGATCTGGGTCCTGGTAATTATCCTGGCATCATGATAAATGGCGATTCACTTGATGACTCATCCACGACATCTAATGATTCTATAGGTAGTATCCCTTTTTTGAATGAATGTGAAACAGATAATATGGGACATATGATAGTGCAACAGGTCGAGAATGTTTAACAATTAAATAAATTTCGAAAATATTATAAAAAATTTTGAAACTTTATAAACGCAAAATGAAATGAAAAAAACCTAAAATTCCTAATAAAAGAAGAGAAGGAAGAAGGAAAGAAATGTGCACAAAATTTCGAAAACCGATTTCCAAAGGCGAAAAAAAATATTCAAAACAAATTTTAGGCTTAGCTGAATTATATAGAAAATAAATAAATAAAATTGAAAACTATTTAATTAAGAAATTATGAGAATGATATAAAAAGGCATACAAACAAACAAACAAAAACAATTTAAGAAAATCATTGATTTTTTATTAAGTGAAATTATGTATAATTATTAAAAACATTATATACACTGATAAAGAAAATATTAAAAAAGATATGTTTTTAGCATATAAATATTGAAATAAAATATAAAAATAATTTTTTTAAAACTATAAAACAAATATAAAATAAAACAAATTCAAAAGTTAACAACACCCAAAAGACAAAATGGAAAAAATAATTCATAAAAATAGAATATTAAACTAAAATGATAAACATTAAAAACCCCCTAATTCTATATATTTAAAATATAAACGAATTGATTAAAAAAAAAGAAAACTAAACTATTAAATTTAAAAAGCAAAAACACTGGAGTAAAGTAGAGAATGTTAAAAATAAAAAATCCCCCTGAAAAATTCGTTTAATTAAGTAAAACAAACAATTCAAAATACGTATTAAAGAAAACAATTAAAACCTTAATAATTAATAAAAAAAAAAACAAGATTTGCCAAAACTCCAAAAATTAATTGATTGCATTAAGGCAATATTTAAAATAAAATAATAATGAAAATGAATTGCAAATAATAATGAAAAAAACTTGTTGATTTTTATATTTGATACAAAATAATTATTCTTATATATTTAGGAAAAATAAAATAAGAACGAAGAAAGAAAAAACTTAAATAAAAATGAACTTAAACTAAACACACACAACAAAAATATAAATTAAAATAATGTTTTTTTAAGAACAATTTAAAATCATTAATTAACCATCAAAACAATATTAGAAAGTTTCATACAACAAAAATTAAAAATAATTAAATTGCATAAAATTAAAACATCTTTTTTACCATAGTTAAACAACAATAACAGCAACAAATATTTAAAGTACATTATAATATAATCATTTTTATATTTACACATACATATACATATTTAAAAAAAATGAAATAAATTCAAAAGTTTATCTAAGGGCTTAACATTAAAAAAAAAATAACTAACAAAACTGTTAAACTTAGAACTTTTTAAGTGTTCTTAACTTCTTCTTAAGAATTCAGAAAATGTTGTCACAATTTTTAAAAAAGTTATTATTCTGCAGTCTATAGACAATTCTATAGTTCAAACTTTTAACAGTTCTATAGTCCAAACTCTAGATAGTTCGTTTTTCCAGTTCCAGATTATAAAAAGTTTAATAATCGATGCTATAGGGACTATATACAGTTCTATAGTCCAATTTAGAGAAAGTTCTACTTCGAGACAATTATATATTCAAGGCTATTAAGAGTTCTATAGTCGACTTTCTAGAAAGTGTTACATATATTCGAGAAAATAGGCCAGATACTATATAGACAGTTCCATAGTTCAAACTATAGAGAATTCGGTAGTTGATACTAAAGACAGTTATATATTCGAGACTGTGAAGAGTTTTATAGTCAATACTATGGATAGTTTTATTGTCCAGACTATAGAAATTTAATTGTCCAGACTTTAGAGAGTTCTATAGTTAAGAAAATAGAGAGTTCTTAAGTCTCATTTCTATATATCAGACTCTATAAACAGTTCTATACTGAGAGTTTTATTATCGAGACAATAGAGATTTTAATAGTTTAGATACTGTATTCAGCGACTATAAAGTTCGATAGCCGATACAATAGGGAACTCTAAAGTCGAGACTATAGAGACTTTTATAGTCGAGACTATAGAGAGTTTTATAGTCGAGACTATGGAGAGTTTTGTGGTCTATATTTTAGAGAGTTATACAGTCAAGGCTAGAGATTATAGACAATTCTGTAGTCGAGACTACAGACAATTTTATAGTATAGACTTTTTTGAAGTCGAGACTATCAAAGTTCGATAATAAACACTATAAAGAGTTCTATAGTATAGACAATAGACAGTTTAATAGTCGAGACTATAGAAAGTAGTCGAGAATATATGAGAGTTTTATAGTCGATATTGTATTGAGCGATTTAAAGCTCGATAGCCGATACAATAGGGAACTCTAAAGTCGAAACTATAGAGACTTTTATAGCCGAGACTATAGAGTTTTATAGTCAATATTCTTCAGTCGAGTTTATAGACAATTCTGAAGTCGAAAATTAACAAACTTCCATAATCGAGAATATAGAAAGTTGTATAGTCAAGACTATAAAGTTCTATAGCCTATACAATATAATCAAGACTATAGAGAGTCATACAGTCCTGACTATAGACAAATATATAGTCCAAAAATATTCAATTTTTGTTACAGACTATAGACAAATCTAAATTATAAAGACTATATAGAATTCAAACTTACAGACCATAGATAGTTTGATAATCGATATTATTGCAAGTTCTTTAGTAGTAACTACAGACAGTTATATAATTCTAAAGACAACATTATAGTCCATAATGTTAACAAGTCAGTATTCTGGCTGTATATAGTTTTATAGTCCAGACTATAGACTAAAGTCCAAACTAAACAGTTTTATAGACTTAACTATAGATCATTCTAGACTATAGTTCAGACTGTAGTTCTATAACTTAACCCGATATGTATACTTTAGCCCTTGATTAATTCAAGATTGTTAAAAAGACCCTTTAAATAAATACTCTTAAAAAAGTCATACCGTTTATATTAAAAAAAATCCTGATAATAATCATCAAACCACCCCCAACCAATAAAAAAAATATGATTGATAAATTTAAAAAATAATACACAATAACGTTTAAATAAATAAAATAATAAAAAAGAATTAGTGACTATCAAAATTGGATCTTCCAAAGAAAAATTAAACATAAATCATAATAAAAAAACTAAAAACGTTAAAATATAAAAATTCAAAAAAATTTTATAAACAAAAATATTCTGTTGTTTAAGTTTACGTGAAAAATTTGAACATTCGAAGACATTTAAAGTTGGTTTCAAGTTTTGAAATGTAAAACAGTTTGAAAATAATTTGAGATTAATAATTTATCATAAAGATACATTATATTGAAAACCTCGATTATATTTATTAAATTATATTTAATATAGAAGGTAAAATATCAGCTTATATTCAACTTAATCTCCTTTTCAAACATCAAACATTTAATGGTTTTGAATTTAGAATTTGAGAATTATATCTCAGCAATTCGGAAAATATGTAGTCTATCAGAGAAATGTCTTTATTTTCAAATTATCCACTTCAAATTAAACTTAAATCTGAAATTTAAAATTACAATTAGTTTTGAAAAATCATCAATATTTGAGAAATTCTATTTTATCATATTATCCCCATTGCTGCAGAGAACTTGCGGTGAACATTTCATTCACAATAGTTGATTTTGTTTGCAACAGCTGTTCATTGTTTACAAAATTCCATAATCTTAATCTTCGAGTAGATAATTTTTCTATATAGAAAACTGTTGTTTTCTTTGAGGAGACAAAATTTTGTATAGAACATCTGTAAGGACACAAAATTCTCTATAAATAATAAAAACTATAAAAATATTGTCTTATTGATATCATTTTAGGAAAAAAGTTGTTGCCACAATTTTAAGTAGAATTCGAGCATTGAGTAGAAAATGTTTTCTAAGAAAACTTTTGTCTTAATCTTTAAAAAGACTAAATTTTCTAAATAGAATCTTTTAAGGAGATAAAACCCCTTTTAGGTGTAGTTCCAGATTAGTATTTACATTTTTCAATATTGCTTTTTAAAACAAGATTTCTTTAAAAAAAATTTTACGTAAACTTAAATTTAACAAATTTTATATAAAATTATTATTATTTTTTTTTTTGTTTCCAACAACTAAAGTAATAATTTTATAAAAATTAAAAAGAATATTTATTAAATTTAAATGTTGGTAGTACTAATAATAAAATACAAAATTATAATAAAATAAAAGCAAAAACAAATTACACGTTATTAAACACTTTTTATAAATATTTTTCCTTTTTTATAATTTGCATATATTTTTTTTTTTAAATTTTATTCGAAAAAAAAATAAGATAGAAAAAGAAAATAAAGTTATTGGTTTCATAGAGCACTTACGTTTTGCAATAAAATAAAAAAGAAAAAAATTAAACATACAAAAATAATAAATTCAAATGATAAAATAAAAAAATAAATAAAAAACAAATATTAAAGTTAAAATTGTTGTTAAAAAGAATTATAAATTAAAACAAACAAAATTTTAAAAAATTAAGTATTAAGCTAAAAAACCAAAAAAAATATTTAATATAATTATAATTTAATTTTTAATTACAACTTTTTATTAACAATATAATTTTTTGTTTAAGTTTGTAAAAAAAACAAGAAAGTTTACTTTTGTAAACGTTATAAAATAAAAAAAAAAAAAAATAATAAAAAAAAATATTGTTAGTAACATTAAGCCAGAACAAGAAAAAAAGAAAATATTAAAATATAAAACTAAACGAAGGAAAATATAAAGATAAAAACGAAAATAAACTAAAAACTTTAAAAAAAAACTTTCAGAATTAAAAAAAAAATCAATAAAAACAAGAAACCTAAAACCCCAACAAAAACATAAAATAAGAAAAGTATTAATTAAAAATCCAAAAAAATTAAGAAAGAAAGTAAAAAGTATTACAAACAAAACTCCCCCAAAAAATTCATGTTAACATTAATAATAATGACAAAAAGAGAAAAAAATTAATTATTACAAAAAAAATAAATAATAAAGAAATCATATTAAAAAAAAAGAAATTAAACCAAAAAAACATAATAATAATTAATTACATAAATGTTTAGAAAAGGTTTTAATTTAAAAACAAACAAAACAAAAAAGTATTGAAACATTAAGTAAAATTAAAATGTTTGTCAATATTATGTTATTTATATATTGAAGAAGAAAAAAAACAAAAATTAATAAAAAAAAAAGTTGTATCTATGTGTATGTTATTATTATTATTATTAATTCTATAATTTAAACATTATATAAATTATAATATTTTATTTTATTATTGTAAGTATAATTGATTTTATTATTGAAGTTTATGTTATTATTAATTATCATTATTACTATTATTAATTAATTATTATGTATTGATATTATTTGAAACAAAAGTGCTTGCCAAAAAGATAACAGAACGATTTAGCAAGTATTTTAAGTAAAAGATTCATTTTAAATAAAAAAACCAATAAAACAAATGAAATATTAAATTGAAAAAAAAAAAAAAACATTTTGAAATAATGTAGAATATTTACAGTTTAGTTTAGAATCATTTAGATTGGATTCTGTTTTACACCCAACTAGCGATACCCAGTGTGTTTTGCTGCCCTAAAAACAATATTAATAAAAACCATACTTTACGATTTTTGAAGATTCTAGATTTAATAGATTCCCAGATATCCAAATTTTATGAATTTAATTGATATGGGAGGTACCACTTCTCCTATTGCTAGTTAACCAATTTACTACCCAAATGTTATATGTTTTTATCAAAATTTTTTTTCTAAAACTACCGTTTTAGTAACTAAATTTGAATCAACGATTAAAATTCTATAAATGATTTCAATTTTAACCGATATGAAACTAGCTACAATATTGAAATCATTCAAACTGTTTGTGTGTGAGAGATCTGATAAACTGTAAATATTTTAATTATCAAGTTTTTTTATTTTTTAACTACAGAAAAACGTAAGTATAAAAAACTATTATTAAAACATTACACATCTAATTTTATAAAAAAAAGAAACAGGTAAATGTTCAACAGTTTTAGCATTAAAAACTCTAACTAATTTTTATCTCGGTTGAATTCAGTATGACTATAGAAATTTTATTAAGACTTTTTTTGAAAAACACTAAAAATATCCTAAAATTGAGTGATTTTCATAAATAAAATTTCCATCCGAGATACTGAATTCGGCGGTTAAACAGAATTTCTCTATTTCACGGTGGCCTTTTTCATCCACCGGGTGAGCATCTTTGACGACTCGCCACCGCCTCTGTGCTTCTAACACGCAGGTGTCAATTTTTGTACATAGTTCTGTCCGGTCCATGTACAAGCACTTTGCTCAAGTACTCGAGCTATATAATCTCTTACCATAGTAGCCCCATTGCCTAATGACAGGTATCATGAGACAAGTCCAATACATACCTCGACAAGGAAAAGGCAATCACTAGTTTAGAGACAATAGAAGGGGCGTATCCAACATCAAACCCTATTGATGCTATGAGGAATGCTCATTTACCTAGAACATTCTCATAATCTGAAGACTCACTCTAGGGCATTCCTTAACCTCTTAATGTCGCACAACCGCACTCTGTTGCTTCGGCAACAGCACCAAGGGACGTAATTGATCGTCCGAAGTATGGATCCATTTTTAATTAACAAGACTTACTTCAGTGGCCACAAGGTCCTATTGTGATAAGTTAAGCGTGTTTTTAGAGTATACTCTTAACACACTCAACCATGAAACAACTCAGAATTACATCAGACACATACTTTAATACACAGCCATAACAGCTCCTAAAAAATAGGAAAAACTTATACCGAAAATATTTCAGTTTATAGTCCCGGCAGAAAGACTGATAACACCTCTTTTCCCCAGGCTTGCAATAACAACAAGATAAGAAGGATCATGAAGGTAACATACCCCCGGGGGAAGAATTTCTCTACATCAATTGAAGTTTTTATACCCATCATCAAAAAAGATAGGGGGTATATTGATTTTGTCATTCCGTTTGTAACACATCGAAATATTGGTCATAGACCTAAAGTATATATATTCTGGGTCCTTATTAAATTCTAAGACGATCTAGCCATGTCCGTCCGTCTGTCTGTCTGTTGAAAGCACGATAGAGTCCGAACGGAATGATTTAGAGCAACGGTTCCCAAATGGGGGTCCGCGGACCCCTAGTGGTCCGTAGTAAAATCCTAGGGGGTCCGCGAAGACGAACGAAAAAAACCATGAATAAACAATATTCTGCTTTTATATGTATGTACAAATATATACAATTTTTGTGCAATAATCCCAAATTTTTTGGTGACTTTTTGAATTTTATTTTTTCGGTTGTTTATCAGGAAGAAGCTAGGCCCTACAAATTTATTGTATAACTTTTATAAAGTAAAGTACTGCGTGATTTGCAATTTTTATTTCCTGTATATGTACTGAAATAATGGTTTTTATTTCAGACAAATAATACTCTGCCTTACAATTAAATTAGGGTTACTGGTATTCCGGAGTACGAAGTTCAATTCAAAGACAAGTTTATTACAGATTTAAGTTTATCAAATTGTAAGCAAAAGTGTTCTCGTTTGAAAGGACTAAAATTATATATTTCCAAAACAGAGGTGACTCTTTATGCATCTCTTTATAAATATTCCAATCCGACGTGATACACAGATTTTAACTTGATTTTGTCGACCAATACATATTATTAAATTAACATCAGAAAATCCATAGCGTTTCGCGTAAATATGTAGTCAAAAACCATGAAGTAAAATAATTCGTTGGTATTTTAAAATTCAAATTTAAGTTCCAAATTCACAGTACTTTAACAAAGAGTTCAAATCATATATTATGCGGATAACGCATTCCGCAACAACATAGAAGAAGTCCAACTTTCTTATATTATTTTCCCGAAAACTTAGCTCACTTACTCAGTTCACCCTTTGCAATCGCAACAAATTTTTGAAACGTGACTCCTTAAGCACATGTCACAATATTTGATAAAGAAACCTTTTCGCTACCTTGAAGAAAAATTAACATGAAAGATCTCACGATCATAAAATTAAACATCATGTTAACATATCAATAAAGAAGTCATTCTATCTTCAAAACATGCAATTGAAAACCTATCTGAAATATTATATATTCTCAATGTACGGGAAAAAAATATGTATGGGGGTCCGCGAAATTAAATAAGTTCTTCAAGGGGTCCGCGAAGTAAAAATCTGTGGGAACCTCTGATTTAGAGGGTTGAAATTTACCATAAATTTTATCTATAGACAAGGTTTGATTGGTATTGAAAATTGGCAATATCGGTCCACGTTTTCGGATAGCCCCCATACAAGTGGACCCCCGTAAACAGATTTAACGGGCATATCTGTTTTAACAGTAAGATTATAGCAATGAAATTCGTCATAAATAAGTTTCATATGATCGAAAATCTCCCTACCAAATCTTATGAGGATCGGTCCATAATTGACCCTACCCCCCATATAAGGTGCCCTTCGCTCATTACTGCCTTAAAAATAAGAATATAGCGATGAAATTCGACACAAATAAGTTTCATGCGTTTCTCTACCAAATTTTATACGGATCGGTGCATAATTGATCCTACCCCCATGTAAGGTCCCCTTCAAAAAATGACTTTAACGCTTATTACTGTCTTAAAAATCAGGTAGAGCAATCAAATTTGACATAATTAAATCCCTGACGAGCCAAAACTCTCTACCAAATTTTATGTGGATCGGTCCATAATTGACCCTACCCACCATATAAGGTCCCCTTCAAAAAATGACTTTAAGGCCCATAATTGACCCTACCCCCATATAAGGTCCCCTTCGGAAAATCACTATAACGCTCATTCCTGGCTTAAAAATACGAATATAACGATGAAATTGGACACACATAAGTTTCATGCTAATCAAAATCTCTCTACAAAATTTTATGTGGATCGGATAATTGCCCTACCCCCCATATAAGATCACCCTCAGAAAATTACTTTAACGCTAATTATTGTTTTAAAAATACGAGTATAGCAATAAAATTCGACACACATAAGTTCCATGCGAGCCAAAATTTCTCTACCAAATTTTATGTGGATCGCTTTTTGGTACTAAACTTCGTTAATATTGAGATTTTTGGGAAAAGCGCGTTAACCTGTGATCACTTATTTTTCCTACCAAATATCGATTTTTGGTACTAAAATTGAGCCAAAACTAAAAACCTCTATAACTTCGTTAATGTAGTGATTTTTGGGTAAAGCGCGTTAATCTGTGATCACTTATATTTCCTACCAAATATTGATTTTTGGTACTAAAATTGAGTCAAAACTAAAAACCTTTATAACTTTGTTAATATTGAGTTTTTTGGGAAAAGCGCGATAATTTGTGATCACTTATATTTCCTACCAAATATCAATTTGTTGTACTAAAATTGAGTCAAAACTAAAAACCTCTATAACTTTGTTA